GACTGCAGCACAGGGAAAGCTACAGGAAAAAGAGCGGCAAAGGGTATGAGCTTCAGCTGCCAAGAAAATGAGAAAGACACAAGACTACCAGACAAAGAAAGATTACAGGTTTTATTCACGAATGACACAGAAGAAAACTCTGTATTTATATAACCTAAATGAGAAGAAAGGCACGATGACAACATACGACACAGAAGTGTGAAACGCAAAGTGGACTCCAGTCCAACAGGCAGTGAGAGGCACTGAACCCACCGGCGGGCAGCAGGCGCCATCTTCCCGTGCAGCAGCCCCTCACTGGTAATCCCCTGCAGTGAAGGGGGCGGGGGAGTGGACCTCGCTCTGCCCACAGACACCTAGTTTCCAGTCCATTATACCATCACTAGGAGTCAGAACCAACTCGATGGCAGTGGGTTTTTGTTTTTAATGCCCACTCGCCACCCCATCCCTACAGATCTTTCTCATTCAAACTTCCCCTCCCCTCTCCACACCCATCCTCCCCCAGGAGACTTCAGTTTGTCCCTCTGGGGACACTGAGCTCCAGTTCATTCGGCCCTTTGGTAGTTATTTACAAATCTTTTTCCATCTCTACATTCTGTATTTCTTGGGGGAAAGGAACCATTTCTTTTTCTACAGCTAAAATCCTCAGCAGTAAATGCAGTATCTCTCCGATTCAGAATACACAACAGCTGTGAGGCGACAGAGGCCAGGAAATGAACAGGAAGGAATCAGATTTCCAAACACGTTATAAAACAGAGCCAGGTTAAATATACCACCCTTTATTTTTCATCTATTTAATACATAACATTAAAAAAAAAAAAACCCTACAGAAAAAAATACTAGCAGATTACAGATGTTTCAAGCCTGAAACATAAAGTGGGTTTGAAGAGAAAAATCAAGGAAACACAGTTGACTTATGGGGAAATATTAGGGGACTACTGGAAATTTTTCACTTTTAAAGCAATGTCTAAAATCAGAGGATGTGCAAATAAAAAAGTCAGTAGTATATTATTCAGCAATAAAAAGAAATGAGCTAAGAAGCCACGAAAAGACATGAGGAACTTTAAGTGCATACGCTAAGGGAAAGAATCCAGTCAGAAAAAGCTACCGCATTCTGTATGATTCCAAGTCTATGCCATTTTGGAAAAGGCGAAACTGTACCTCACTGCCGATCGATCTCGACTCACAGCAACCTTATAGGAGAGGGGAGAACTGCTTCCATAGGTTTCCAAGGCTGTCAGTCATGTTTATGGAAGTTGACCGCCACTATCTTCCTGCTACAGGGCAGCAGGTGGGTTCAAACCCCCAGCCTTTGAGTTAGCAGCTGAGCACTTTTAACCACTGCACCACCAGGGCTCAGGGCTTCTTTCTTGTTAGGTGCCTCGAGTCAGCTCTGACTCACAGTGACTTTATGTACAACAAAAGGAACACACTGCCCAGTCTGTGCCATCTTCACAATTCCTGCTATGCTTAAACACATCCTGGCAGCCACTGTGTAAAGGGCTCCTTTAGTGACCTCTCATTTGTTACGGCTGAAGACTCAAATTCTGTTCATGGAAGTCACTGTACAATTGTTGAAAGCAAAAGATCTGGAGTCTGGTGGCCTGGGCGCAAATTCTGACTCTGCTACTGCCTGGCTCGGAGACTTTGGTCCTTAACACTGCTAAGCAAGCTTCCCCCTAATACAGATGGGAAAACGGGAGCTCTGGTGGCGTAGTGCTTAAAGCATAAGACTGCTAACTAAAAAGCTGGCGGTTCAAACCCACCAGCCACTCTTCGGAAGGAAGGTTGGACAATCTATTTCTGTAGTGACACTGCCTCAGAAATCCAAGGAGGGGTCACTATGAGTCAGGAACTACTCGACAGCAGTGAGTTTGTTTTTTTTTTTAATATCGACCTTACAAAGCAGTAGAGCAATTTAAATTATACAGGTAACAGCCAGTCTTTACTTCGCAGCCTACACAAAATGTAACTCTAAGTAGATCACAGACTTAATGTAAGAGTGAGAACTCATAAAAGAGTAAATTTTCATGACCTGGGGTTAGGCAATGGTTTTAGATACTACCCCAAAAGCACAAGCAATAAAAGTCTGACAGACTGGACTTCATCAACATTAAAAACTTTCGTGCTTTAAGGAATACCACCAAGACAGTAAAGACAGTCCACAAAACGGGAGAAAATATTTGCAAATCACATGGCTGATAAGGGACTTATGTCCAGAATATATAAAGAACTCTTACAACTCAATCATAAAAAGACAAATAACCTAATTTAAAACTGGGCAAAGGATCTGAGTTGAGGTTTCCCTAAGGAGGATACACAAATGGCCAATAAGCACATGAAAGGATGCTGTCATCACTGTTGTTATGTGCCGTCACTAGTCATCCCAAAACCAAACCCACTGACATCGAATCTATTCCAACTCATAGCGACCCTTCAGAATAGAGTAGAACCGCCCCACAGGGTTTCCAAGAATCAGACCACCTCATCTTTCTCCCACTAAGTGGCTGGTGGGTTTGAACCATCAATGTTTTGGTTAGCACCCAAATGCTTTAACCACTACACCACCAGAGCTCCTTCATTAGTCCTTGTTGTTGTTGTTGTTGTTATGTGCCGTCGAGTCAGCCCCGACTCATAGCGACCCCTCCTTGGGTTTCCGAGGCAGTATCACTACGGAAGTAGGATCGCCCAACCTTCCTTCCGAGGAGTGGCTGGTGGGTTTGAACCGCCAGCCATCTGGTTAGCAGGCAAGTGTCTTAGCCACTATGCTACCAGAGCTCATTAGTCCTTGGGGAAATACAAATCAAAACCACCATGAGACACACTGCACATTCACTAGGATAGCTAAAATTAAAAGAAAGATAATCATAACACTGTAATATACTAAGTGTTGGTGAAGATGCAAAGAAACTGGAGTCCTCATATAGGAATGTAAAATGGTGCAGTCACTTTGGAAAATAGTATTCAAAATGTCAAACACACACTGTTACTACAGACCACTCCTAAATAATACAGCTGAGAGAAATGACAAACTATGTTCACACAACAAACATGACTAGTCACAGCAGCATTACTCCTAATAGCCAACAGCAGACACAACTCTAAATGGCTGATGAATAAACAAACTGTGGTATCCATACCACATACCACCACCACCCACTGCCTTTGAGTTGATTCTGACTCATAGCACCTGGTAGGACAGAGTAGAATCACCCAAGGGTTTCCAAGGCTGTAAATTTTTACAGAAGCAGACTGCCGTATCTTTCTCCAGCAGAGTGGCTGGTGAATTCGAATTGCCAACCTTTCAATTAGGTGCCTGGGGCTTAACCCCTGCACCACCCAGGTATTATTCTGCCAAAAAAAAGAATTAATTATCGATACACATTTTGCCATGAATGATCCTTGAAAACATTATACTAAGTGCAGAAGCCTATCACCAAAGGTCACATATTGTATGATCCCACTCACATGAAATGCCTAGAAGAGGCAAATGCAGAGACAGAAAGTAGATTATTATGGTTATCAGGGGCTAAGGGGAATGGGGAAAACGGAGTGAGAGCTAATGGTCACGGTTTTTGGGGGGAGACTATGAAAATGATCTAAAAATTATTGTGGTTATGGTTGCCCAATTATGAATGTACTAAAAACCATTACAGTGGACAATTTAAACGGGTGAATTTCATCGTAGTAAATTAACTTCAGTGAAGTCAGTCAGTCTTTTTTTTTTTTTTTTTTAACGTAGAGCAAGCAATGCTTGATGCCTGACAACTGTGCCCATAATTAAGCACCCTTCACTAGACCTGTTGTCCCACGCGCTGGAATAACCTCTAAGGGCCCCTTTGACCGCTTCTGACCCTGAGGGACCCAAGGTGCTTCCTAGGGTGCCTCTAAGCAAAGGCTGGACCAAGAGATCCCAGATCCCAACACTCAGGGCAAAAACTGACGGGGTTCCCACGGTCTTCATACTGCTCCTCCCGCCACGGTACCCGCCTGGAGATGCGCTTACCCAAGGCACAGGCCATGGCGGCGCCCACCAGGCCTCCGCCCGACACAACTACATCGTACACGGTGTCTCCTGCGGCGCCAGACCACTTTCGGCCGGAGACCAGCGGGCCTCTGCGAGCAGCTGCAGACGCAGCTCCCCACCGGCTAGCAGCCACCCGTACCGCCATGGTTTTACTCGATGCTCTGAGCACCCCCTCACTGGCCCGCCTCCTGTAGAACTTCCGGAGCAGAGCCATTCTAGCGGCTGTCTCCGAACCGGAAATAAAACTCGTGAAGGAACTAGACCAATCAGAAAACGAATCTTGCCTTCTTGGGCGGGATTATTTCTAAACTGGTCTCACAGAGACATCTGACTGTCCCAAGTAGGGTATGGAACAGAGACTGCCTGACACTGGAAGCTGGTTTGTTATTGCTGGGTTACATGGAGTTGCCTCAAAATCACAGCGGCCCTGTGTACAACACTGCCGGGTCCTGCGTCATCCTCTGAATCACTGTTGTGTTTGAGCCATCGTTACAGCCACTGTTAATCCATCTTGTTGAGTCCCTTCCTCTTTTTTCGCTACCAAGCTGATGTCCTTCTTCAAGTACTTGTCCTTACTGAAAACATGCCCAAAGTGTGTGAGACAAAGTCTCGCCATCCTTGCTATTAAGGAGCGTCTTCCAAGACAGATTTCTCGGTCCTGGCAGTCCATGGTATATTCCACATTCTCCACCGACACCGTAATTCAAATGCATCGGTTCTTTGGTCTTCTTTATTCATTGTCTAGCTTTTGCATCCATATTAGGTGACTGAAAATACCATGGTTGGGTCAGGCGACCCTAGTTCTCAAAATGTTTGCTTTTTATATTTTAAAAAGGTCTTTTTGCATCATGTTCGCATCCACCAATCAGAGGCAAAAGCTAGAAAGGGGACGGACCCTGACTGAGTTGCTAGCGTCGCCACCGCCGCTGTCACTGCTGACGCCGCCGCAGTCACTAGCCTCTGCCCGGCTGAGAAGATGACCGTGGGGAGGCCTGCGGGAGACCCCCGCGGCTCGGAGTGCAGCAGTCAGGTGAGGAGGGAAAGACAAGGGGAAGGAAGGACTGCGCTCCAGAAAGGAATCCCTAAGAGAGGACACTGTTTGACGTTGCCCTGGGAGACAGTCAAGGGCGTGGCACGGAGGGATGTGGGATTAAAATAGGTAGCGTGGTGCCTAAGGCATTTGACTGCTAACCAGAAGGCTGGCGGTTCAAACCTACCAGCCACTCCTGGGAAGGAAGATTGGGCAATCTTACTTCCGTAGTGATACCACCTCGGAAACCCAAGAAGGGGTCACTATAAGTCTGACCCCACTCGATGGCAGTGAGTTCGGTTTGGTTTTGATAGGGACCAGGAAAAGGGGTCTGACTCTGGAACAGTTTGAGACTTATACCAGACTATTCATAGAACTGGGAGCTCTGGTAGCCTAGTGTCTAAGGCACTTGACTGCTAACCACCAGTCACTCGGAAGGAAGGTTGGACAACCTACTTCCGTAGTGATACTGCCTCGGAAATCCAAGGAGGACTCCTGTGAGTCGGTCCGACTCGACAGCACATAACAACAACAATTCATAGAACTGTAACAAAGAGCATTCGGTTTTCACTTACCCCTCTCAACTACCCCCCCTGTGACCAATAGTGTAGTTGTTGTCCCCATTATGTAAATGAGAAAACTGAGGCACACAGAGATTAAGAAATTTCCCCAAAATCCATAGACACAGAAAGTAGACTGGTGGTTGGTTGCTCAGGGCTGGGGAGTGAGGGTTAGTGGGAACTGGGAGTGACTGCTGAAGAGTATGGGTTTCTTGCTGGGAGTGATGAAAATGTTCAAAAATTGTTTGTGGTGATGCTTGCACAAGTCTGTAAATATACTAAAAACCATCGAATTGTACCGTTCTGATGGGTGAATTATATGACTCCTATGGTATGTGAATGATACCTCAATAAATTATTTTAAAAAAAGGAAAGAAACCTGTCCAAAGTCATGTGCTGTTTAGCAAAGTAGAGCACATACATACCTCTGACTCAGTCACCTTGTTCTTTCCAGTCTTACACCTGGACCCTAGAGAACCTAGTAAAACCTTCACCTTGTATCACCTGGAAGACTCACTGCTCTGCTCCCCACTGCTGTGCCTGCTACGGCCCCTCACAGCCCCATCCTGGCCCCTGCCAGCATCTCATGCTGTTCTGCAACCATTACTGGCCCTCTTTCTAGCTCTCCAGGAGCCAAGTTTGTTCCTGTCTTGGGACCCTGCCTCAAGGCCTTTGTGCTTGATGATTTTGAGCCCAGAACCTTCTTACCCCAGATCTTAGTAAGGCTGGTTTCTTCTCATCACTCACTTGTCAATCCAAAATTATTCTACAGTGAGAAAATAAAAATCAGTCCATGCCTGAGAGAGTAGAACTCAGACTGTAACAGACACAGATAAGGCCAACAGCAAAAGCAACGGTAAACAGTTACTTCCAGGGTCACACCTTAACTGCAAAATGGCTAACACCCCCTTCTGAATGATTATGCTTATTTACCCAGCCCCACTTTGTTTTCCCCACCTTTTGAATTGTTGTTGTTGTTGTTTGCCGTCGAGTCGCCCCGACTCATAGCGACCCCTCCTTGGGTTTCCGAGGCAGTATCACTACGGAAGTAGGATTGCCCAACCTTCCTTCCGAGGAGTGGCTGGTGGGTTTGAACCGCCAGCCTTCTGGTTAGCAGTCAAGTGCCTTAGCCACTATGCTGCCAGAGCTCCTCTTAGCTCAAATGCCCACTTCCTAAACTCTCCCAACTTCCTGACAGCAATGAACCAATCAGTCAACAAGTGAAAGTTGATCCCTGCTTCCCCTAACCCTCCTCAGCATCATTCAGCACAAGTCAAGCCTACAAAAAGCTCGTCCACAGCCCTCTTACTGAAGGCCCCCCTTCCATTCCCATCATATGCAGTGACAAATTAATAAGCCTAACTTTGATTACAGGTGCATTCCTAGTGGGCTTTATCTGATGGGCTTTATCAATGGAAGACCTCTCCATAGTCACTCCATCACTCTCTATAACCTCGCAGTGTTTTAGTTTTCACTGAATTTATCATCAGTTTGTTTATTACCTGTCTCACCTCACTAGAATGTAAGCTTCATGAGAGGAGGGACTTTGTTTGTCTTGCTCTCACCCAAATGCCTAGTACATATTAAAAAAAAAAAAAAAAAAACATTGCCATCAGGTCAGTTGCAACTCATAGCGACCCCCATTGGGTTTCCAAGGTGGTAAATCCTTGCAGAAGTCGATTGCCTTATCTTCCTCCCATTGAGTGGCTGGTGGGTTTGAACTGCCAACCTTCTGATTAGCAGTCATGCCTTAGGCACTGCACTACTAGAGCTCCTCTTTAGTGTACAATGTGTACATTGTTGTTGTTGTTATGTGACCCCTCCTTGGGTTTCCGAGGTGGTATCACTACAGAAGTAGATTGCCCAACCTTCCTTCCGAGGAGTGGCTGGTGGGTTTGAACCTCCAGCCTTCTGGTTAGCAGTCAAGTGCCTTAGACACTATGCTACCAGAGCTCCCTTAGTACACATTAGGCACTCCATAGATAGTTTCTGAATTAATGAGTGACTAAAAGCTAGGACATTCCTCTTTCAGCTAGACTATGCTATCTCTCCTGTTCATCATCCACTCCTAGTGACAGAGTGGAAATTAGCTAGAAAATAAGCAGAAGTGTGGGCAGGAAGCAGGAAAAAAGGATGGGCAACAAGCAGGTAAAACCCACGTAAGACAGGCCCAGAGTGTGGCCAAGGTCATAGGTAGGGTTTCAGGGGTGCAGGGGGCAGAATGGGTGGTGCAGAATAGGTACTCTAAATGCTTACTGTACCGCATGGAGTAGGGCACTAACTTTAGCTCTTGGCTTCTCTCCTGCTTTCCAACCAAGAACACCCGCCCTGCCCCTAATATCAGGTTGTGAAATTTCTTGAGAGCAAGGGACACATCTTTCTTTTCTTTGTTCTGCCCTGGTCCTAAATATCCACATAAATGAATTTGAAGTTGTAGTTTGACCCAGAGTGTATTTCTGTTTCATTTTAGGTATTTCCTCCCAAATCCTCCTCAGACACAGAAGGAGAAGCAGAGCCGTCTGGGGACGCCCTGGTCTTGCCCAGGGCAGCCAGACTCGATGAGTTCCTCCGCCCAGAGGAGGAGGCGGATTCTACTTCCGACTCAACTGAGAGCTTTTACGAGAGCCTAGAGGTACTAACACAAAAAGGCAGGTGGTGCCTGTTGGAATCCCTTTATCAGTCAGACCCAGACAGTGATGGAAACCTCTCTGAAGATGATGAGAACCTGGAGAGTTTCTTTCAAGACAAGGGCAGAGGGAAGCCGCCGGTCCGGTACCCTCCATCTCTGAGGTAAGACAGTGGTGAATAGCTGCCCCACTCCACAGCTCCGGGCAAGTCATGTCATGTGTCTGGGCCTCAGCTCCTTCCTCTGCACAGCCAAGGTCACTTCCACTTACCACTTAGCCAGGCTCCAACTCGGGATCTGCTCTCTGTCCCACCAAGAGGTCCAGCTCCTACTCAGGAATCCTTAACACTTTGAGTGGCCCTTAGTCCTCTGAATGAAGCTCTGCAATCGATGAAAGGAATGCCTTTCCCAAACACACTACTTTCCCAAGAATAAAAACTATGGTACTAGCTGCCATTTATTGTCCATTTACCTTGGCAAGCACAGCTCTGTGCATGTATACATGTATCATTTAATATTTATTTTCTCCCCCCAGTGGCCCTGTAAGGGGATATTAGTTTTGTCATTCTACCAATGAGTCAGTGGAGACTTTCTCAAAGTCACACAGCTGGTAATTGCTGCAAACAAGATTTGAACCCAAGTCAGCCTGACTCTAGAGCCCTACTTTGCACCATTGCATTGTTCTGCCTCTCGTATGAAAATATGAGGGTGCAAAGTGGCAATTTGTAGAGCGATTCTATGAAGAGATTTCCATTAGAACTGTTGGATGGCCTGTGGGAAGGGGGAGGCCTGGTTGGGAAAGGCACAGGCAGAGAGCCCTCGGGGCTGTGATGTTAGGCTAAGAAGCCAGCTGGGACCTGCTGGGAAGGGAGGACTGGGGAGGAGACGGGAGGAGCATCATGGCTGCCCTGGCCTCCACGCACAGATCAGCTTTTTCCTCCCAGGTGTGGCTCCACAAGGCGCTGCAGCTCCTTGAGCAACCTTCCCTTGGACAGTCCCCGGGCTCAGCCCAGCCTGTCCGCTGTCTTCCGGCCCTCCTCCCAGCACAGAAGCCTCGGCTCCTGGGCCTCGTCCATCACAGTCCCCCAGCCATTCCACATGACTCTTCGAGAGGCCCGGAAGAAGGCCCAGAGGCTGGCCTCGCCCTCCTCCTTTGAGCATGAGAGGCAGCAGGCCCAGAGGCAGGGCCAGGAGGAAGCCGAGTGCCACCGCCAGTTCCAGGCACAGCCTGTACCCGCACACGTCTACCTGCCCCTGTACCAGGAGATCATGGAACGCAGTGAGGCCCGCAGGCAGGCAAGGATCCAGAAAAGGCGGGAACTGCTCCTGTCTTCCCTGAAGCCCTTCAGCTTCCTGGAGAAGGAGGAGCAAAGAAAGGAAGCTCGACAGAGGGACTTGGCTGCCACAGTTCAGGCCAAGGTCCCCAAGCAGAAAGCCACCAGGAAGATCCCCAAGTCTATTCTGGAGCCAGCCCTCGGGGACAAACTGCAGGGTACACACATCCTTGCCACCTGGCCACCTCTGGCCTAGGTGTACTGAGAGGCACTGTGGGGATTCATTGGGGTTCAGGGGTCGGACTGGTTTAGAGATGAGCTGCACAAGAGAACCCACTAGAGGCCGCACTGGACAGCTCAGTGCAGGCCACGGGGGTAGGTTTTGGTCTATGATGTAGTCAGGGAACCACGTAAGGAGTAGAGAGTAAGTGGTCTTACAGGTGGCACCCCAAGATTCATCCTGTTTGCCTCTCAGTCACCCAGCCCAGTGAATATGAAGGCTTCTCTACAGCTCTGGTGGCGTAGTGCCTAAGGCATTTGACTGCTAACCAGAAGGCTGGTGGTTCAAACCTACCAGCTCCTCCTCAGAAGGAAGATTGGGCAATCTACTTCTGTAGAGATACCACCTTGGAAACCCAAGGAGGGGTCACTATGAGTCAAACAGACTTGATGGCAGTGAGTTTATATATATGTGTGTGTGT